ATTGTGTGTGAATATACTCCAAATATTCTCTGGTGGCTTTAGAGGTTCTCCTGGTTTCCATATGTAGCTTTGAGACACGTCCATATGAAGGTAAAGGAGATTTTCCTTATCTTGCTCCAAGTAGATCAATCGCCTTGATTCAAATGGTGGTTTAGACTTGGGTCTTCTCTTGGGCTGTTCTCCATGGGCTGGGGCCTTTTGGTGAATCAAATGAATGTGTGGACTCCCTTCATGGCTGATCCAAGTGTTAAAAGACTTCAAATCCTCAAAGCTCGCAATCTGATGTAGTTCAGGTAGTCGGTCAGCGAGTAGTTCAGGCAGTCGGTCAGCGAGTAGTTCAGCATGCTTGTCAGCGAGTAGTTCAGCATGCTTGTCAGCGAGTAGTTCAGCATGCTTGTCCGCGAGTAGATCAGAATGTACATCAGCTATCATCTTTGAATCATATGGATGGTGAATGATTCCTTGATGACTTGGTGTTGCCTCATTAAAAACCTTTCTAGGTAAACCCATTGGGACAAACCCTAGATAAGGGAAAAAGAGTGCAACAGCCATATCCCAATAATAAGGTGATTTGACTTGCTGATTTTTGATCCCTCTTGAACTGTCGGACTTCTTAGGGTTAATATCATGGTGAATAATTAACCCTTCGTCTTTTACTTGATCAAAGCTCCATTTAGACAAAGATTCTCCAAGATTCTCCATGTAGACCGGTTTGTTGTGCTCTTGGTTTGATATAGTTCTGATGTCCGCATCATTGAGGTCTTGGTTTGTTCCTATGTTTGTTAAACTTTTATTAACGTCAAGATATGTGTTTTAGATTACAATTAAAACTAACCCAACTAGGTACGTTTCTTGCAAAACAAGACTGCTAAATAATTAACCTAAGAAGTACTCTATAAAGTATAAAGAAATACATATCTTTAATGTGCTGATGAAAATTACTGATGACAATTAATTGGGTGAAACAATTTAGACCAGGCATATTATCAGACTATCAGTAGTGACTACTACAGCCAGGCAACCATATACAGTACGTGTCTGTTGTTTAAGGACAAGACAACAGAATAAGGTTACGGTTTGAACTGCGGCTGACAATCAAACTAATATGTGAAACATGTGCCAATCGATCGTACCTAATACAACTAATCATTCACTGATAATAATACTTCTAAGATTAACCACCAAAACCATGCGTTCACTGCTTCATAACGAGACGAGAAAACCAAATGGTCTTTGGTCTAGTGGTTTTCGTTTGAGAGAAGAATTGTTTTGTTGGTGTAGGCAAGAGATCGATTCTGCTCAAGCATAAAATTACTAAATATCTCTATTTGGCCACGAGATTTTACCCGATCTTCTCCGAACCTCAATCACAAAAACATCTTTTTCTTTTAGAGGAACAAAAGCCATTTACTTTTCTCATGGTATATTTGAATTTCTTGTTTTGGTTGTGAGTTGTGACAATTTTAGGGAAAGTAAAATGAGGTTAAAATTTCATATTTTTCTTTACTCATCATGGTTTGGTTCTGGTCATCATATGATTTGGTATCTTCCCAAGATATTTTGTAACCAACTCAAACATCTAAATTCGTTCCTATATTAACACACCCAAAATTTTATTTTCTCTAAAATTTCCAAAAAGTAACACATTCATCTACAAGTATCATTTGAACATCTCTAAATAAAATATATAAAATAGTTTATAGGAAGTACGGTTTAGTATTTAGAATTTGAGAATTAATTTTGAAAATTTAATTATGAAATATAATGCTATTTTAGAATTTTGTGTAGTGTGTGATAAAGTTGATTTGAAAACAAAACTTGTTTTGGTGTTATGAACGAGAATCGCCCAAATATTTAAAGCCAAGACATGTTGTGAATGATTATAGCCAACCCCATCCATGCTTTATTTAAAACTAGCAGTTGACCCACGCTACGCGCAGGAGGTTTATAATTTTTTTGTTAATTTTTTAATTTATATTGTGATCTTTTAATTATTTTAATTGATTTTCAAAACATATTATAGTTATTTTCTCTTGAATTATTATCTTTCAATATTTAAATTTGGATTAAAAGCATTTTCTTTTTGATCATGTTATAAACTAATATTTCACTTTCAATTTTATTTTTCCCCTTTAAAAATTTATATATACAATTACATAAATGTTGTTTTTATTCTACCATAAATTTAAAATTTACTTACATTCTTAAACTCAGTAACACATTTAAAATTTTAAACTATGATCAATTTAAAATGAAATTTGAATTATATTATTACTACTAACTAATAAATAATGAAAGTATTTCTTATTTAACATTTCATTTATTTACATAAATTATTTTTATTTATATAAATTTTCTATTAATTAAATAAGTAGCATAAATATGCACTAAATGAATGTTTTAAAATTATTTTAATGTAAAAGAAATGTGGCTTATGTGGATGCTTAGGTGGCATCATGAGAAGAGAGAAAAAACTAACTTTATATATATAGATATGCAAGATACTATTTTAACTTTGGGTAAATTAAACTTCTATACTCAGTTGACCAACAAATTAAGAATATAGCATTATTAAATGTATAATTAGTTCTCTCTCCTCAATTTGTATAAGTGGACAAAAAAATCTTTTTGCATCTAACAAATTATTTAACGTGATAATGATATAAGTATCAACAGTACTATTTATCAAATACATAAGTAAAATCATGTTATAAGTTAGGTGAATAACTATTGAATTACCTTGATAACAATATATATATATACATATAAGTTTATAAATATATCGTGTCAAAATGTTTTGTATCGCGATAAATTATGATTTATGTGATACATTTATATTTACCGTGTTAACAAAATTTGTACATATATAACCACTATTTTATCAACCCAAACCGATATATAATTTCGTTTTAATTATAAAATCTAAACTCTAGCCACTCCTTTATAAACCCAAGCCGACATATAATTTTGTTTTAATTGTAAAATCTAAACCCTAACCACTCCTTTATAAACCCAAACCGACATATAATTTTGTTTTAATTGTAAAATCTAAACCCTAACCACTCATTTATAAACCCAAACTGACATATTAGTATGCAATTTAATTGTAATATCTAAACCCTAAGATCTATTTATAAACCCAAACTGATATATAATTTTGTTTTAATTATAAAATCTAAACCTCAAAAATATATTTAACCATGTATTATTAAAGGGTATACAAATTTTGTTTTCGTAACTATTGACACATATCAAACTTTACCGTCAGTATCATCGTCACCACCACCACGAGTAAAACCATCGCTAAAAGTGTCACCTCTTTTCCTTCCAATGAACACCACCTTGGAAATATCTTCATCCACATCATCGTTTTGTTTCCAATTTTTCCATCATTACTTCATTTTTTCTTGCTTTTGCTATTTTTGACATCATATATAGTGTGTTAAATGTATAGTTATCTGATAAGTTTTTATGTTATTATTATTTATTTATTGAACTGAATTACCACGATAACATATTATATATATTTATAAGTTTAAATTTATTATGCTAATTCAGTTATCAGTTAACTAAATATTCCAAGACTAAAATTGTCCTTAAAAATAGAGCTAATTATAAAAAAAAGAGTGACATATACTTAATCAACTGGTCAACTGGATATATAGAATGCAATTTCCCTTTTAACTTTTCAAGATAGTACATTACTAAATTAATTAAATAAGTTTTCAATAAAGACAAAAGCTAAACCACTACGGCAATAATACTAAACATGGAACATGTAAACCAATCACTCCCACCTACTAATCATATCAAACCTGACAAATAATACCACGAAAACATATGTCATTACTTCGTGTACGTGTGTCCTAAAGAGACAAACAAACATCATAATCACGTAACATTCTGTACCTAAATAATAATTTCCTAAAATTTGAACATAAATATATACTAAAACTATATTGATGAGATCCATTATTGGTTTGCAGTTGATAACTTCAATCACTCTTTTTCACTTTCTTCTTCACGATGACGCTACACATCATTGACATTACCCGAGTCACCCCTGCCGCCGACTCAGACTCTGTTCTCAACTCAGCCAACTCGTTCTCCCTTCCTTTAACTTTCTTCGACCTACCATGGCTACTGTTCCACCCCGTCAAACGAGTCTTCTTCTACAAACTCACCGAGTCAACCCATGAGAACTTCATCTCCATTATCCTCCCTAAGCTCAAGCTCTCTCTCTCCCTTGTCCTCCACAACTACTTCCCTCTCACCGGCCACATCACTTGGGATCCAAACGAATCCAAACCAAGCATCGTTGTCGCACCAAACGACGCCGTTTTGGTGACTATAGCCGAGAGTGAAGCTGACTTTTCTCATATCTCCGGCTATGGACAACGTCCTGTCTCCGAGTTACATGCCTTGCTTCCCAAGTTACCAGTTACTGATGACTCAGCCACTGCCTTCTCCATACAAATCACGTTGTTCCCGAACCAAGGAATCTCCATAGGCGTCGCAGGACACCACGCCGTTTTAGACGGGAAAACGGCAAGCATGTTTATGAAAGCTTGGGCTCACATATGCAAACAACAACTCGATAACGTAATCTCTCTACCAGAGAATCTAACTCCTTCTTATGATCGGTCTTTGTTAAAAGACTTAACCGGACTCGATGAGAAGATGATCGATACGGTGAGATCTAACAAAAAGGACAAAACCAACATCAGAAGCTTGACTCCGTTTCCCAAAAGAGTACTCGGAGATGACGTAGTCTTGGCCACGCTCGTACTCTCTAAAGATGACGTGGAAAGACTTAAAGAACAAGTCAAGAACGTGTCACAAAGCCTCCACTTGTCTACTTTTGTCATTGCTTACGCTTACACGTGGACATGCTTCGTAATGGCACGTGGAGGACATGGAGAGAGGTTAGTGAGTTTACTATTTGTCGGAGATTTTAGAGAACGTTTGGATCCGAAACTTCCGGCGACTTACTTCGGAAACATACAGTTTCCGGTGGGTTGTTACAACCGTAAGGCGTCGGAGTTTATGGGAGAGAAAGGGTTTGTTACGGCGGTTGAGATACTTAGTGGTTTGGTCAAAGAGTTGAGTTCAAGAAAGAAAGAGATGATCGTGAAGGAGTTTGCCGACAGTTTCTATTTTCTAAAAGGGAGCACACAGTTTGGTGCAATAGCCGGGTCAACCCGGTTGGGAATATACGAGTCGGATTTTGGGTGGGGAAGACCCGTTAAGGTTGATGTTGTTTCCATTGATCAAGCAGAAGCGTTCTCTATGGCTGAGAGATGTGAGGGATCAGGTGGTGTGGAGATTGGAATGTGTCTGAAGAAGAATGAAATGGATAGGGTTGTGTCTTTTTTCAACAATGGTTTACAAAGTTAAACGTATCTAGTGATACCTTCGTACGTTAAAGCTTGCTTTAGTGTTCTTGTTTCTCGTTGTGATATGTTTTAATACATATCTTAAAGCCCATGTAATGTTATGTTGATACATTCATCATGGTACTTGATCTTCTCACGTCTCATCCTTTCTTTAATATCGTCCTCTTCCTATGTGCTATTGATTTAAATGTCCTTTTGATGACCCATGTTATTTTATATATTTGTGGCCAAGATAAGGTTGATATTGCACGATGGTCTCCTGCAAGGCGAATCCAACCTCGTATGATGACTATAGTCCTTACTAAAGGTGTTGAGAAGCTGGTACAAGTACGATTGAATTGTACATTTGTGAATACGGTGGATTACAAATTATAAAATTTTATATCTTTCATGGTTGAACTCTATCACGACCGTGTTGTGAAAGCAAGTATTTTATCTGTCCAACAAATAGATCATCATCACTATGAAGTTCGAAATGGGATTTCTATGAATGTTATAAACCTTTTTCAGAAGAAGTGTTTTGATCGTTTGTTCGACCTCGACAAACTGACTTAGCACATGAGGTTTAAATTTCTGAATTATGTAAATTTTTTTTTAAAAATTTTTAATGTAATATAAGTAAGAATTAATTGGGTTTTGAGTACATTTTTGAAACATAATTGTAGAAGTAGTACATTTACTATTCATTATTAGCAAACTAATACATTTTTACTATTTGGACACTATTTAGAACCTATTAAAAACCCCCTTAAATCTAATAACTAAAAATATTCATCAAAATATATTTGTTTTCTATAAAATTTCAATTACATAAAAATCTATATTTTTTCTCTATAATTTGATATGCATTTTTTTAAATATAATTTCAAATATTTTTCAAATAAATTTTGATACGTCCAGCTATCCTTATGTACAGTAGTGTGTCGATATACGGAAAATTATCCGTACAGCGGTCTATATATACGTATAATTGTACGTGTACAGATATTTTCTGGTCTATATATGTATATTTGTTTATGTGTAAATATGTTTATATGTAGTTGTTTTTCTTTGTACAAATATTTGATGTACAATGATATGTTACTGTACAGTTGTCTGTCTGTAAAGATATCTGAAATAGTAAAATTGTACTATTTTGCTAATTGTGAATAGTAAATGTACTATATTTATAATTATGTTTCAAAAACGTACTAGTTTGCCAACACACCCTATAAGTAATTTAAGTACTTTTTTTTTTAATTGTCATCTTTATTGTTAAAAGTTGCAGGGACAGAGGAAGGAATAAAAACAGAGCATAATAAAATCATAGATAATTAATCAAAAACAAGCTAACACCGGTCCCTTTGAATGCGCTGATGTGACCACGCCGGTCCTCCCAAGGATAAATATGAAGTGAGCCGGCCATCTCTCGTAACACTACCTGCAATGTCACGTGCTACCGAGTTCGCTTGCGAAGAAGAAAGGTGAAAGGATACTCCTTGAAACCGTTGTTGAGCTTGCTGCACTTTGAGCAGTAACGAACGGTATTTAGGCCACTCCATAGGCTTCTCTAACGCCAAAACTACCGCGTTACAATCCGTCCAAACCTCACAACTTGCGATTCTGATATCTTTGAGGCTTGTCAGACACCAATAAATACAATGCAGTTCCGCTGCTATGCTATTAACCATTGGTAAGAAAGCATCCCGCGCATGGAACAGCACATCACCAACAGAATTCCGCAGAATCCATGCTTCTCCACAAAAACCAGAGGCATTTCTCCATGATGCATGAAGGTTACATTTCAAAACACCTTCAGCTGGCCGCAACCACCTTCTTGAAAGCACACTCGGATGAGGGCCAGACCAAACATCATCTTGGTTCTGCAAATGTTGTTGACACATCCATTCCTCCATGGCAGATATCGCACCAGCAGTTACAACATCATGATGTGGCACCTTAGCGGTAAAAACAGCTGAATTCCTTCCTTTCCAAATCTCCCAAAGGATCCAAGGAATTGCATTTCTCATTGGAAGAGGTAAATCAACTCTAGATACCAAATCCAACATAAATTCCACATTCTCTGCTATTGAAGCAATGAAACCATTACTCGGCAAAGGAAGATGGGTTGCTCCCCAAACTTGGGATGCAAGAGTGCACCTAAATAAGACATGTGAGACAGACTCCTCCTCTTGATGGCAGAGTTGACAAATATGATTGACACTTAAGCCATGAGAACGCATACAAGAGGCTACTGCTAACGCATCCGAGAGCACTCTCCAGAGAAATATGTGAATCTTCGGTAGTGTCTTGACGTGCTTAATATTCTCAGACACCTCCACAAAGTGATATAAGTCTCTATTAAGTAACCAATAGCCACTTTTCACCGAGTAACGGCCATCATTAGTATAACCCCACATAAGTTTATCAGGTAAACTTATCTCCGGGGGGAAGGTTCTTATTTTAACCACATCACAAGGAGGAAAGTATTCATTTAAAAGCTCAACATTCCAATCACCTTGTGGTCGAATGAGGGCAGAGACTTGTAAATTTAAATCATAAAACTGATTCTTATTGACTGGTCTCCAAGGGGAATCATCAAAAACCCATTTCTCTAGCCACACCCGTGTAAAGCAACCATTCCCAATCGTCTTCATCAACCCTTTTTCTAGCAGTTCTCTACCAAACATAATGCTACGCCAAGCATAAGAAGGCCTAGATCCCATCATAGCTTCCACAAACTCTGTTCTAGGGAAATATCGAGCCTTATATACTCTAGCTAGCAGAGATTGAGGTGAATCCAATAATCTCCAAGCTTGCTTTGCAAGAAGAGCTTGGTTAAAGCGACCAATGTCCCGAAAACCCAAGCCACCTTGAGACTTCAACTTACAAACCTTCTCCCAAGCCACCCAATGCATCTTTTGTTTGTCTTCTGTAGCATTCCACCAAAAACTGGACATTGCACTTGTAAGCTTCTTACACTGATCTTTAGTAAGACGGAAACACGACATAGCATACACCGGCATCGATAATGCTACAGATTTCAATAAAACCGCCTTCCCTCCCAGCAATAAGGTCTTCTCATTCCATCCCTTCAATATCGAGTCCAAACGATCATTGATAAAAGCCAACAGCTCCCGTTTAGACTCGCTAAAGCATTCCGGTAAGCCTAAATACTTCCCACCGTCTCCAACTTGTTCTATTCCAGTGAAAGCACCTATAACACGTCTCATATATGGATCCATCTTTTTCCAAATGTTATAGACGACTTTTGGAAATTAATAACTTGGCCTGAAGCTTTACCATACACATCCAAACAATGTAAAAATTCAGTACACTCCTTCAAACTTGCTTGGCACAAAAATAAGCTGTCATCGGGAAAGAGCAAGTGCTGTATAGACGGACATTCCGGCGTTAGACGCATACCCGTAAGCCTTACTTCTTGTTCTGTTTTTTTTCATAATATGAACCAATGCTTCAGCACATAGGATAAATAAAAATGGTGACAACGGATCACCTTGACGTATTCCCCTTTTTGGTTATTTAAGTACTTGTTGTGTTATTTTTGAATTATTTGCTAATTTATTTAAATTTCATATACAATTAACAACTATTAACAAAATACTATTATAATGATTTAGTACGCTTGATAGGAGTTCTCTAGTGGAAGGGTGATTTTGTTTAAAGTTGTTAATAGATTTTTTTGAGTAGTTTATTTTTAAACAACTTTTATGAGTTTCTCTAGTGGAGTTGGCCTTAGAGTAAAAGTGATAAAAATTTAATGTTTAATTGGTGTTAATGATGAACCGTCTCCTAAATAGGAGATTTTTGTTATGGTACGAGACGGTTACGTGGCGTCGTATAAGTGGATGGTTAGTTAGAAAGAAAAAAAATCTTAGCCTTTCTCTTCTCTTTCTCACTGGCGGCTCTGAATCCTCTAATGAAAAAGAGGAGAAATTGGAATATGAGCTTTTTAAGAAGCAATTGAGATTGCAGACTATATATAACCAGAAGGAGAACGATGGAGAATAAGGAAGCAAAAGTGAACAACTTTTTTTTTGTTATTCTTTTTATTTGGGTTCTCATTGATAACATGGTTTTTGTTTGAGTCTTTATCTCTTGCACTGAAAATGGCACCTTTTGTTATCTTTCTGTCTAACTGGAAATTTGGAGATTTGGAGTGTTAGACTATGATTGTTCGATATTTATTTGTCAAAGGAACTAGTTTTCCAGGATTAGTTCATCTGTGTTTGGTTCTTAAGATTTTGAAAAGTTGATAGATTCGTCTATTTGTTCTGATTGTTGATTAATATAACACTGTTGCGAGTTTTTTTCTCTCTTTTTAGGTGAGGCTTCAACGACGAAGATTTTTTTTTTTTTAAATGTATATAAACCCCGTAGCTCTTATCATTGGAGTAGTACAAATTTTTAAACTCCAACACCATCTCTAACTTCAACTTTTACAAAATTATACTTAAAATATTTGTAAGAGCCCGTAATGGAGCTCTCCCGTTGTGGATGGTCTCAGCTTCTCTTTTTCTCCAATGAACCATTGCATCCTATTAAGCTGTTGATTATTTTTTTAAACAGCCCATTGTAAGTAGTCTTATGTTTTAAAAATGTACTAATTTGCAAATATTGAGTTAATAAGTTTTTAAGACACAAATAAAAGTATGACGAATTAAAATGGTTAGAGCATCACCAATGATAAGGTTTTTTATTTTGAGATTTATTGAATTAAATTTTGGTTAAAAAATAAAAAAGCAAACCATACATATGTGTACAAGTGTTTTAGAAACAATCTATCACTTCTCTCTCTAAGTTTTTTTTTCTTAATATTTTTATACTTAGAAAGTCATTAAGAGCCTCCCATTAGAGGTTCTTTAAGACCATCTCCAATGGTAAGTAGAGGTTCTTATAAAATTATTTTGGAGAGAAATAGAACTTAACAAAAAGGAGATGGGGAGAAAGAGAACTGAAAAAATCTAATACTTCTCTATCTATCAACACATATCACTTGCTTTGTATTGTATACATTAGCTTATGTACCATGTTCCTTCAAGCTCTATCTATTAATACATATACATAAATTTGAAGTTAAAGAGACAATGAAACATTAATTGATTCATTCATTTGGAAAACAAGCTAAGATAATTTTT